TAAACCCTAAACCCTAATATCAAGGCCCGTACATTACTTGCAACACGGCTGGGGCGTCGACAAGTTTTGGGCTTGGAAGGCTCGGAAGTCGGCTCGGCGTCCGGGTGGGTTTCGTAGATGGGAAGTTCTCTAAGTTGGGGTTTAGGGTTTAGGGNNCTATATGGGTAGTTCTCGAAACTAGGGTTTAGCGTTTTAGGGGTAGGCTTAGTATATGGGTACTTCCCCAAATCAGGGTACCAGGTCCCCCGAAACTAGTACCGCACCCTGACCCTAAGACACTCATTTAAAGCCCCTATAGAACCCTTATAGTAGTATAGTAGCCCCTCTAGATCTCCCTAATAGATCCCTTTGAAGACTTGCGCATATCGGGGTAGAGGCCAAGGCAAGAGGTTTCGGGAGTACGGCATCTACGGTTGTCGAAACTCGCAGTGGCTCAAGGGCTCATCCGGTCTAGAAGACTTTGGAATCGGCTTAGGGTTTAGGGTTTAGGGTTTGGGGGTTGGGGGTTGAGGGGTTTAGGGTTTTGGGTTTGGGGGTTTAGGGTTCATTCGGGTTTAGACTCAAAAACCCCAAACCCTAAGGATCAGGCCTCAGAGAGCCTGTATGGGGTCTCGAATCTACAGATCTTATAGGCTTCAGGGTTCAACCGATAAATGGATTTCTGGGGCTTGCTTCGTCTCGGCGCCCAAGCTTTTTTCCCACTATTATCTCCTGGGGACTACCAGGTCACATTCTTGCCGAATAATGTAGGGGCCTGAAGGATTAGAATGGAGTTTTTGATGATCGGTATACTATAGTTCTATTAGGGTCTGTAAGGGGATACCATTGGTAATTACTCCCGACCCCTATAAACCCCAAACCCTAAACCCTAAACTGACATGTAACTTAACCAGGTCGCAGTTCCGGCTGCTCCCGAACCCCAGCAGTTTCCGATGGACAGGGCATTGGGCTTAAGGGCACAGGGGTTTAGGGGTTCATACCCTAAACCCTAAACCCTAAACCCTAAACCCTAAACCCTAAACCCTAAATCCTAAATCAGGGGTATGGGGGTCTAGGGCTTCAGGGTTCAGGTGTTTCGGGGTTTTCGGATCTCAGGGCCTCATCGTCGTCGTCCTCCTGCTTCTTGGCCTTGCTCGCCTCGGCAAACAAGCGGGAAACAAAACCACACAAAACTGCAAAACCTAAACCTTAAACCCTAAACCCTAAACCTTAAACCCTAAACCATAAACCTTAAACCATAAACCCTGAGCCTTAAACCCTAAACCCTAAACCCTAAACTTAAAACACTGAAGTGATGCCTTGAGGGTTTATGGACTCAGGGGTCTGAGCAGCCTTGCTAAACCCTTAGCCATTACACTCAAAGCTCTTGCGGCCGCTGGGGGGCAAATCATAATACTAATTCCCAAAATAGAAACCCTACATTCTACTATCCTAATTCCCAAAATAGAAACCCTACATTCTACTATCCTAATTCCCAAAATAGAACCCCTACATTCTACTATCCTAATTCCCAAAATAGAAACCCTACATTCTACTACCTAGGTACTTCGGACCCTTTGGGTGTAGGCTCCAAACTCAAAGCCACGCAGACGGACCAGGGTCTTCCGTTGTATAGGGAGCTACAGGGTTTCGGGCTTGGGGTTTAGGGTTTAGGGTTTAGGGTTTAGGGTTTAGGGTTTAGGGTTTAGGGTTTAGGGTTTAGGGTTTAGGGTGTAGGGCTTATAGGGTTCAGGGCTTAGGTTTAGGGAAATACCATAGGCACCGCGTATCTGGACCTGTCTATGACTTTCTATGACGGCCACATGCCCCCGAGAGAGCAACACTACCAGTCCGTAGGCGTCATCTCTACAAGCCAAAAACCCCGAATTCCAAACGGCTTACATTCCTGAACCCCTCAAGCCTCGTCGCACTACGACAAGGGCGAATCCCTCAAAGCTCAACACCTCATCCGGGGTTTCTTGTCAAGCGATGCAACAATTAGACAACAAGCACAACATAGTCGCTTCAAGCCCTAAGCCCACAATCCTAAACCCTAGACCCCTAAACCCTAAACCCTTAAACAAGGACCCACTATCCCCTCAGCCCTAGAACGGCCTTCTTCTTCTTCGCCTGCTTCGGCTTCGGCCGGTAGAAATAATGCGGCTCGGCCAGGTAGCTGTAGCCGTCACAGGTGAAGCCTCAGAGGATGGGCCGACAGAGCTTGTCGTGGAAGGCGGCAGAGATTTAGGGTTTAGGGTTTAGGGCTTGTGATTTTGCAAGCTTGTGCCACAACTTCCCCTAAACCCCAAGCTCTTGTCTGGACCTCTTGTGCAGAAATGGTCTCGGAGCTGGGATGTCAAATCTAGGACAGTGCAAAGCCGAAACCCCAAAGTAGGAGCCATAACACAAAGACTCTCGCAACCCTGACTTCAAACGGCGCACCATTCATCCTTCCTGGTGCTTCAACCCTATAGGAACCCCCCAATAAATTGCAATGCAAAGCTACCTACTACATCCCCACGCTTGGCTTTCTGGCTGAGGGTTTAGGGTTCTGCACCCTTGGACGTCTTGACCACCGTCTCTTCCGGGACCCTGTCTTTCTGGTTATAGGGTTTTTGGGCTTGTAGCTCCCATGTGCTCTAAACCCTAAACCCTAAACCCTAAACCCTAAACCCTAAACCCATAGCCTGTAGAATCCTTCATGGCGGATACGTAGGCCCCAATGGAGGCTCGACTGGGTGTAGGGTTTGGGGCTTCGGATTTGTTTCCGCAGGGCAGGGCCCAGGTGTGGCGGTGGTTCGAACCAGAGAAACAAAACATCTGCACATCGCAGTATGTAGAAAATGTAGTATAGATGCGATTGTGGTGTTGTAGTTTAGTATAACAGGGTATATTACAAGACCTTGTAGAGCATATTGCAGCACCATTTACAATGTATTCTAATATCTCATATAATATAGTATAGTATAGCACAGTATGGTATAGTAACATTTAGTGTGATCTAGCCTCGTATACAATATAATGCAACTAGCTTCATTTCTTGCATTATGGTGTATCACACTCGGATCGTATATGATAATGTGTATAATCTGGAGGCCTTGGTATAGTCTAGCCAGGTTATAAAAGGAACCCTAGCTGACAATCTTAATAGCTATCCAGCCCTAAAAAGTATCCCTAATTCATAGTACTAGCTATTCTCCAGGCTTATAAGGAACACTAGAAATAGTATGAATACTCAGTCCCCTGAACCAGCCTGAACCCTAAGTTAAAACCGAAAAAAAAGTAGTACTAGTAACTATTCAGGCTTGTACCTTATTTTGGTATTCTAGCGTATCACCGTATATTATCTGTTTATACACAAAACTGGGGTGTGTATATATATATATATGCATACATACATACATCACTTTCACTTTTTCACTTTCAATGGCACTGAATCCGGGTCGGACGCAGCCTAATGCATGCAATAATTAAACGGTGAAACGACTTGAGAAGGAGAGGGGACCAGGGAAGTTGGACATGACGGTAGCGTCACCACTGACGGAGACATCATGAGCAATGCGCTTGAGCGCGGCAATCCCCGGGCAGTCGACAGGGGGGGCAACAATGATTGCAGGAACTCCACGAGTCCAGAGAAACAAAGCGCCCCTGACAAGATCAGCAAACAATCGCAATCTCTGGAGCCCAGGCAAGAGAGTGCGAAAGTTCCTGACAAGCGAGGGTGCAGTAGTCGACCCTGTCAGGCCGCTCACGTCGAGGACTGTCGCAGTCCCCCGTCCGGCACTAGCCCAACCTTCAAAGTCCAAGCGCGAGGGCTGAGCAGAACATGAATCATGGCTTATCCACTCTCCGCGCACACATTGTCGACCGAGAAAGCGGCGCTCACCAGAAATTAGGCGAAGGCCAAAGTCGCATTCACAAGAGCAGGGCGGGATGTGAAGGGAGTCATACGACAACCACGGAAGAAGCAAAATGCCATCCCTGTAGGTTGCGTGCTGGTCAGTGGTAGGAACAGCCTCAGGCACAAGCCATTCAGAGAAATCGACGGCGCAAACGAAATCAGCAGCCTTGCGATGCCAGGCCGCCCATTGAATAGAAATGTCTTCATTGCCTCCAAGTTCTGCGGTGAGAGCGTTTCTCCAGGCACATGCGGTAGCCCGAAGTCGGGAGCTCTGTAGACAAACGCCAGAAAAGGCCTTACGAAGCGCTTCAATAAGACCAGCGTAGTCACAGACATCCCCAGGGAAACTGAAAATCTCTTCAAGGGCAAGCAAGATAGAGGACTCTGGCCTCTCAGACTCGGGGATGTACCCAGTGCCGTCCCATTGGGCAACTGGGCCGTGGGCTGTGACGGCAGGCAGGAGCACATCCTTGCCATCCTGGAATCGTTTGCTCCCACGACCTGGCACAGCCTCAACAAAGCACTGCGACTGAACAAGGGCGGCAAGGCACGCTGCAGAATGCTCTAAATGGTTTGTGAGGCGGAAGTTAGAGGCAAAATGCCGAAGACAGACCTGACACTGTGTGCCCTGGGCGACCTTCCTAGCCTCTCTGACCCGCCCGTGTCGCTTGAAGGCGTGGTGGCTCCAGGAACGGAGATCCCTGAATCCCTGCTGGCAAACAGCACACACTTCAAAGCTTGGCATACGGGTTGCCAACTCGTCATCAACAGTAGCGCCAGCGGCAAGCAGACTACGGAAAAGTAACCCATAGAAGTGCCTATGTTCAGCCTCCCAGAGCTCTTTCAGAAGTGCCGTTTGTTGGGCCCTTCGGATCCAACTTTTCCATGTCCCAGGGGAAGCATCAATGACCCCAAGGGAGGTCTCCCAGGAATCAAGCTCTCTCTGTGGCTTGCCGGCTAATGCGAGGCTGCTGGCCAGCCAGCGAACAGAGTCCCACGCTTGTGAACACCAAATGTCGCCGTGATGAAGGACAGCCCAGAACTCAGCAGGAGCAACTCTGGCAACAATCGCGAGGTGTCGAAGGCGTTCAACATGCAAGAGCACAGCGGCAGATGGTATGCGCGCGCTGGCAAGAAGCATGCCAGAGCCAAGATGTTTGGCAGCTTCAAAGGAGTACGTGGGTCGGAGCATTTGCCTGGCCATCACAACAAGTACCCCCTGTAAACGGTCAACAACACTGTTGTCCCTCACGCTCCAAGTTCCGGCACCGAACAACAAACTGGAGAGCACGAGAGATTGAAACAAAAGGGCTTTTTCTCTGTGTGTGACAGCAGGTGAGCCGAAAATGAGTCGTCTGTGCTTGCGGAAAGCCTGCCACGCCTGTGCCGCTCTCGCTTTCAGCTCAGGTTCAATGGAACCTGACACGTGTAAAAGTCCACCCAAGTGCTTATATTTGGACACAAGTCGGAGCCTAGCAGTAGGCCAAAGACTTGATTGCAGTTCAAGCGACGGCGAATCGACCCTAAAGAGCTCGGCTCGAAGAGATCTAGACCCGGCCCCGACAAGGGAAATCATAGCCTCTGATTTGCCGGGATCCAAATTCGGATGCAAGAGCGCCTTGATACACTCCTCAACAAGAATTCTGGAAGTCTGACGGGTCTTTTCGACAAGGGCCTGGGGTGAGTCAGCGGTGATGAGAAGCGCAAGGTCATCCATCCACGACACGTCGAATGGAGAAGCCCGGTCTGTAGGAGGTGATGTCCTGTGGAGCGACCGGAACCACTCTGCAGCCCACGGCAGATCGATCGAGTATCCAGCTGCAACAACGGCTCCCTTGACTTTCTTAAGGACCTCAGAAAAAAGAAAGGAAAAGACGACGTCAGCAAGCGAGTCTCCTGGCCTGGTGCCTGATTCGACGACAGCCAGGCCGGGGCCAACCGTCAACCAGCTATCAGTTTGGAACTCTTTTATGACTGAAGCAGCCCAATCAGAGGCACCAGCATACGAGAGCAAGGACCCTTGGCGAACATAGTCCCTCAGCAGATGAAGGTGCTCAACGGAGAGGTCGAAGACCTGCAGTACTGCGGTGATGTGTTCATCACTGAGATCACCGCCATGGACGAGTGGCCTAGCAACTCGGTGGAAGGCTTCACGTAGATCAAGGAATATAACTGCAACATTGCGGCCTTGGCGTAAGTAACCAGCCTGGAAGTCCCTTACTGCCTGCGCAGCAAGTTGGACCGGAAACCCTTTCTTCCCACCAACCTGCAAAGGCGTGGAAGCAGTGTGGAACCATTGACTGCTCCTTTGCCGAAAGGCGCCATGGAAGCTTTTGCCGATGGTGCTCGAAATGAGGATACCTCTATAGCTCGAGCATTCCTCTGGAGGGCCCTTGTTCTTGTAAATGTGGCGGACAGTACCTCCTTTGAACTGTATCGGCTCTTGGAGTCGGAAGGCAATTTTGAGAAGAAGAGGGTATAGGGCAGCAGACAGAGACCCGGCGTGTGCGTGCAATAGGTCAGGAGGAACCCCATCGTTGCCAGCGGCTCGGCCAGACTGGGCTCTGCGCAGAGACGCCTCAAGATCGCACAAGGTGGGCAAATCATGCCGGCAGACTTCCAAAAGATCGAGGTCGGTGTCCTTCTGCCTATGAATGCATCTTTCAACCAGCTTGTCCGGAGCAATGGGTCCCCCTTGTTCAACTGAGCTAAAATGTCTAAGCCATCTCGCGTCAGCAGCGGCAGGAGTATCAGCTAACTCACCAGATTCCAAGGCAAGTACTGGTAAGGGGGCAACACCCCGCTGCTTGCGTCGTGGTGGACCAAGCAGTGGTCGCAACCGTTGGACAGTGTCTCTCGTGCTGGCAGTGGCAGCCTGACGGGCAACCTCAGCGAGATATGTTCCCCTATCGGCACGAAGCGACTGTCTCAGCAAAGGTCTGAGATGACGAAGCTCGGCAACAGCCCGTTTCAAGAGGGCGACATTTCGCAGAAGCGCAGCAACCCCAGAAACGCAACCCTGTCCAAGGCCCCATCCACGGGCCCAGGTGCGAAAGGCATTGCTAACTTCCCAGGAGGAAATGTTGCCGCTAGACCGATGCGCCTGACGGCGTAACCAAGTCCTCTGCTGTCGCAGAGACCAAGTCGTATCCGAGAAGAACGTACGCCTTCTTGTAGCCCTTCGGATCGGAAAACGAGCTGCAAGTTCACTAGTAAGATGCTGCGATATTGCTTGGTAATGGGCATGAGCATTGACTTCCCAAGCAACATCCGGGACAGTGCTGCAGATAGAACGTATCGTCTCAGCAGCCTCAGGCTGGCTGGCCTTTGCAAGATCAAAACCTCGGCGCCGTGTGCAGAAGGAGATACGTTCACGAAGCCTGACCCAAACTTCGAGGGACGCAGCAAAATGGTCAAGCCCACCCTGGCCAAAGTCAACTTCGTAGAGCACTCGAGAACCACTGCCTGGCACTTGCCACGATGTCGGTATGAGTACAAAGTCAATACGTGACGTGGCAGCACCTGTGGGGGCGACCCAAGTGTGACTATGCCCAACATGGCACTCAAGAAACGTGGATGGAACCCAAAGGTCCAGCACCTCAAGAAGGCGAAAGAAGGTCGGTGGGGGTGGATACTCGTCCTCCCACAGTATGGTGCCAATTCGCTGAGGAACGACATGGCAGAGCCTAGCATTAAGGTCACCACAAATAATGACTTTGTCGCCGTTCGCAGTGGAAATGAGGAGATCAACAAATGACTTCCACCACTGATTGCGGTCTGGATGAGTGGCTGTGGGTGCATGGCAAGTGACAAAGAGGAGGCGCAGGGTACCCCGAACAAACCTGACCAGCAAGAGCCGGGGCGTCCAGAAAAGCACCCGAAAGTCATCGACATCAAAGTGCACAGGAGTACGGCCGAAATAGCCAAAAGGCCTGGTGCGAGAAAACCAAAGCTCGACACCCAGGCACCCCTTCACATCCCTTGCCGAAATGAATCGGATGTGGCTGGTCGATACAATGGTTGAAGTTGTCTTGGCTCTGGTCTCCTGTAAACCTGCAACGGCGTATCCAGCGGCATCAAGTTGTTCTCTGACATAGGGGGCGCGATTGGGCATGTGACTGCCAGCTTCCTCACAAAGTGACTGAACGTTAGCGGTAAGTATTTTCGCTCTGACAGAGAAAACCTCGTCATGACCATGCGCATCCTTGGCAACATCCTGGAGCCCGAACAGGGCTCGTGGGCTGGGCAGCCCATCGCTAATCGTATCATTGCCGTGTGTGTCGACAAACTGACTGCCACGGAGCGCTGGCCATCTCTCAGGATGTTTGACAGCTGCGACTGAGAGCCAAAGCCATTGAAGGCTGCCATCTTGAGCCCAAATGCATAAGGGCTGGAGGTAGACTGGAATGTCGACCTCCCCGACCTGGACGGCTCCCGCAAGCGCATCGGCCAGTTCATTATAGGGGTGCCCTTGGTGGCCTCGTACATGTTGAATGGACGCAGCTGTGAAGCCTCCACTGGCTTCAAGCGCCTGCACAATGGCACGGCAAGCTCTTGCAATCGTACTCTGTGATGAGCACCCATAAAGTCCAGTAGCCTGCCGTGCTGCTACAAGACAGTCACTGTGCAGTGTACGTGTCACGGAAGGGCTGAGCCCAAGAAGCCACGCTACAGCCCAAAAGACCGCACTGCGCTCTCCATTGACAGCAGAGTGTTCGCAAGCACCAATGTGCCAACTTTGCCCTGGCAGACGAACAGACCCGCGCGCCCAAGCAAGCACAAACTCCCCTGCTTCAGAATGGCCGATGGCGACAAAGGCCCAGGTACTTTGTCTCCCGTTGTAGGATCCATCGGTGTATACCTCAACAGCCCTGACACCAGCAGACAGCCCAGTAGCTAACTGGACATGCCCCTGCAACGCTGCAACAGTAGCCTCGTGCCAACGAACATGAGCAGGGAGCGTCGATGAAAGGATCCAAGATCCACGCAATACTGAGGCAACCTCATCAATGGAAAAAGGGGCGGGCATAGTAACACTGGTGACATCATGGGTGACGTAAGCAGGTAGGCAGCCAGAAAGTTGGATGGCCCTTGGAGCATCCTCAGAGACGGCTCGTGGCTGTCTCGCCTTCTCTTGGAAGTACTCGAAGAGTGTCTCGACGAGTGTGGCAGCTTGGAAATAAATGACAGGTCCATTTGCTGCAAAAGTAGCCTCTAATGCTGTCTCAAGCTCCTCGACACAAGCTGTGTAAACGGATGGTTTGCGCGCTGGCCTGCTTCCAGCCGCAATACCGCCTGCCCTAGCAGGCGTGGCAATCGGTCGAGGAGTGTTCTGCATTGCAAGCATGACTGGCAATTCGAGAGGAAGGCGCCCACACCCGGCAAGCCCATAATTGAGGCCGGCACCTGCTGCCTGGACTCCTGGCAGGCAGAGAAGGACAACGACCCCAATCAGAGGGACAGGAAGCCGACGACTGTGCCAAGCAAAGGAGGCGAGGGACAGCAAGACCCCAAGCCGTACATGGCTTTCGATGAAGGGAGAAAGCACGCCAAAGAAAAGGAAGCAGCCACAGCAAAGCACTCCGAGGAGGACAGGGGTGGAGTTGCGGCGGTCATCAGCAAGACCTCTTTTCAAACAACCGCAAAGCCACTTGACTACTCGACTCGAGGATTCATGCCTGAAGCTGCTACCAACGTCGGCACTGGAGGCAGGGTGCCCTGACTCAGAAACAGGGGCACAAGAAGAATCAGAGATGTGCGCCTGGGAACCTGGTGGGACCTTTCGGGTCAGTGCGTCCCGACAAGGGGCACATTTTCTGCAACTTGTAATGTCGGCACCATACGGGCATTGGCTATCAGCTTGTATATGGCCGTGCACACTTCCCCCCCCCCCCACCACCGTACCCACTGGAGCGCTGGGTGGCCCCGGTGCCTGCATCAGCACGTGATGAGGTGGAGGAGGATGCGTAGTCTCCGCCGAAGTCGGGTCCGAACTCAGAAGCGACACTGCCTATGGGAGGTGCAGTTGCTGAGGAAGCATGCGTGCGGATTCCCCGCAGGTAGTTAGGCTGGAACTCAACAGTGAGTACCTCACCCACATCAACACGGCGGCAATGATTGCCTCCATCAATCAGAGATCCCCCATAAATCCGGATATGGTGCCCGGCTGGGCACCGCCATGCAAGCCTTCCGCATAGGGCTGTC